CGGAGTCGCAAACTTTTAAAGAAGTTGACACGAGGGCGATCGGTCAGCGTGACGCGACGTACTCGAAGAGCTTGCAGGACGACAAGAGCCACGACGCCAGCAAGGATAAGAAGACGGGGCGATCATTCGACCGCCAGATTGTGGAAGAACACACGAGGGGTTCGGAACTACGCGCTGACAAAGCGAAGGAAGGGAAGCAGGAAATTGGATCGGTGTATACACGGAGTACTAACAAGGAAGACGCGATCTTCACGGAGAGTCCGCGAAACGTAGAAGAAGTGAGATCGACGGAAATTACGCCGGTTTCTGAAGAAAAGAAGTCTTCTAACGAGGAGTTCGCCTACAAGGAGTACGAATTTCCGGACGATGACGAAGTTGGCACGAGTACGACTGAAGGGGAAATCGAGGAGAGTTCGCAAGGCGACCCTAGCCAAATTTCTTCCGACGAAGTTGCGACATCCCGCGAAGGCAACTCGGAGCAAGAAGAATCGTCTTATCGCGAAGATGCGAGCGAGAGATCAAGCAGTGGTGTTTCGGACGAAGAGCAGAGCTCGACCGGGAGATACAGCGAGGAAGTAAATTCCGATGGATCGAATGAGTACCAGGATATAACCGAGTCGTCCGCGGAAAGTACGCGTAGTATTCAAGAGGATTACAGGGAGTCGGAAAGTACCGAGGGCTCCACGACGCTCGCGGATTACACGAATTCCGAGGAGTACACGGATTTTCAGGAGGACGTCGCAGCATCGACTGAGGAGACCGAGGACAGTACCGAGGGTATTCTGAAATTCACGGACGAACTACCGGTATCGGACAATAAGGAGGACGCGGAAACGGCGGAAGAGATATCGGCGTCCGACGAAAGCGGCGCGCAAGATTACGTCGACGATAATTACGAGCCGGAGAATTACAAGGGGACGGAAACCACGACGAGGTTGAATGAATCCGAGGAGGACGGTTGGAACGAGGAGAAGAGCGACGAAGAGGAGAAAGATGTATCGACGAGAGATTCCGATCGTGAGAATATAGAGACGCAGCGGATCGACGATAGCGCCGAGGTGGAAACGCAGACGGAACACGCGGTGGGTGTCACAAAGGTCGAGGAAGTCGAAAGTTTAACCACGACTTCATCGACCACGACGTCGACCACAACAGCGTCGACCACGACAGCGTCGACCACGACAGCGTTGACCACAACGGCGTCGACCACGACAGCGTCGACCACAACGGTGTCGACCACGACGGCGTCGACGACGACGGCGTCGACCACGACGGCGCCGAGCACGACAGCGTCGACTACAACGGCGCCGACCACGATGGCGTCGACCACAACGGCGTCGACCGCAATGGCGGCATCGAGTACGAAAACTGCGACCACTACTCGCCGACCGACGACTACCACTCCTCGTGCCACACCACCGAAACTCTTTAAACCTACTGGGAATAGAAGGATTTATGCTTACATGCCTCCTACAACGACCCCGATTCCAGTCGTAATCAAGCCAAGGGTAGGCCTGTTTAATCCGAAACCGGCGAAACCGCCTAAATCTTATAACGAATTGGTGCCGAAGCCGATGATCAGAAAGCTCGTTTTATCGCGAAAACCTGCCACCACCACTACGGCTACTACTACTATCGTTACTACTACAGAAAAATTGAATACAGAGAATCCGGAAATAACGACGGAGCCTGTAACAATGACGACGACGACGGCGGCAGCAAGCACGAAGGCAGTAGCGACGACGGTGGCAACGACAACGGCAGCAACGACGACGGTGGCAACGACAACGGCGGCAACGACGACGACGGCAACGACGGCGGCAACGACGGCGGCAGCAACGACGACGGCAGCGACAACGACGGCAGCAACAGCGACGACGGTGGCAGCGACGACGGCAGCAACGACGACGACGACGATAGTGACAGCGGAGTCCAGCAGAAGCGAGGAGAACGGCCTCGAGAGCAAACTGGAAGCGAATGAACGTATATCCCTCAATTCTTCCATGAAGACGAACGGTCAGACGAACAAGGAGGATCAACTTCCAAGCCTGTCCGAGCAGAATATTCCAGTCAATTCTTCAGATACAGATCCGGGAATCACGACTACGGAGATCGAGGCTTTCACTCCTCATCCTCTGTCTAGATTATCCACTCTAGCGTCTTCTATCGAACAAACGACGAAAGAGATAGATGTTGGGCCGCAGGAAACGACAGAGGGCATGAACACCCTCGTGACGACTGTCCCACCGACGACGTTGTTACCCAAAAAGTCTGAATACGCTGAGATGACCGAGCCGAGTACCGAGAAGTACCTCGCAGATGCGGAGACCACCACGACAGCTTTCACTTCCAAAGTCTATCAGCAGGAGACTTCCTCGGCTTCTCCGGCTTCTCTGGTTCCTCCGATTCCTGAACGCGCGACGTCGGTGTCAGTCCTCACGACCGTCCTGCCCAAAGCGGAGGACGACTCCGATCCCGTCGCGTCGATGGAAGCCGCGATCCTCCGAACGAGCGGCCGGAAACCCTTGAAGCAACGGAAGAACGCGAGCTTCAGTTGCTTGGAGAGGGAGATGTATCGCTTCTACGGCGACTTCAGGGACTGCCGATTGTTCCACTATTGCTCGCCCGGCTTCACCTCACGGCAGGTGCTGGACTTCCGGTTCGTGTGCGAGGAGGGCACGGCGTTCGACGAGGTGACGCAGAGCTGCCGTCACGACGTGCGTAATCGGAAGTGCCGAAACCGCTGGTGAGAGCGTCCCAGGAAGGAAAGGGAGGACGCTCCGTCCGTTACGTTCTTTCCGAATCCCGTGCTTCCTCGATTCCGTTGATTTTGGTAATTCGTGAATCCTCTAGGACTCCTTAGTGTATTTATATTTTCTTCCTTCCTTTTTTTTTTAACACGCAACACGTAAGAATACTCCCCCGAAGAAGAGGGCTCCCTCCTTCTCCTAAGCCCATTGCCATAGCGCCACGCGCTGGATTCACACTTATTAAAGTTAATGCCGATCGACCCGCAATCGTCGATTGGATCAGAGAGGGAAGCGAGGAGGCACACATCGTCGGCGTGGTCTCGTCCACCTGAAACAAGAAGTCGCACTTATCGTTAGCGTTAAGTAAGAGAGCGAAGAAGTCGGTTCCTACGTTGTTCTCGAAACGCGCGTTGACGCGAGAGACTTTAAGCGGAGATAGTCGCGCGAGTATGACTCAGAAATGCGAAGCGCCAATTTCTGAACGTTGCCGTATATTGCCGAAGAAACTACGCTCTACGGTTTATCCGTGCTCTTGGCATCTCGCTCGTACGGAGCGCGATAACGAATTAGCGGCCGCCTCTTGGCCGAATAAACAATTTCCTCGAGATAAAGTCGAATATATTTTTCGATAAAATATTTTGCGACTGTACTCACGTCGGCACACGCGCGGTACACCTAGAAATCTTTTCAATGGGAAGAGTCTTCCTAGAATTTCGTGTAAAATATTGTACTTTTGATAGAACGTACATTTTTCAAAAGTATATTTTTTTACAGATTTAAATAATTTTAATATATACTTACTGGCACATATCAAACTGAATACCGCGGGCACGGACGATCGCACTTATTGCACTCGTCGAATTAATTTTCGTCACGGTATCAAAAGTGCAATCAGACGGAACATCATTGCTCAAACATGTAGGTACGAAAGTAGCTTGATAAAGCGTAGACATCTCCAAGTAACGAACGTGCAAGACATGCAGTCGATTTAATGAATGCGTTACAGCGACATGTGAGAAAGCCGAAGGAAGAGAGATCGCGGCTTACAGTTTGCATAATTCGTTTCGTATATTCAATTACATATGCGCTATATCGGACGCGACAGCGGCACACCCGTAACGTAATGCTGGTCAAATGATTCGCATTACCTTTCGTAAATGCTCTCTTAATTTCCTATTACTAATCGGCGCGCTTCAATTACGAGCGGAAGCGAGTGCATCCTTAAGTCAGCCGTAGATAAAGTGTAGATATATTATATTTTTGCCAACTCATTCCGGAACATCTCTAGCGATTTAGTTTATTGTTAGGTAGAGTCTAGGAAATTCGTACGTGCCGCTAAACGAAGCGTTAATCATTACGGCGTGTGTATATACGTTGCGCGTATACGTTTCAATGGCGTATACATACATACACACGTACGTCCAAATTTGTATCTATTATATATTTTTTAAGTAAATGTACCATGTCAATAATAATTGTATATTCTATACGCACGCGTGATATTTATTCTGTCCTTGAAAAATCTCACCTTTTCACCGTGTTTGAGACATAAACTCCGTTCGCGTAATGCGATTTGTCTTTATCAATTTTATGTAATTAATTAAAGTCGACTTTTCAGTTTTTCTTAAATTAAAGTCAACTTTTAATCTTTCTTTTCCAACATTTCTCTTTTCCCCGAGAGGAGACAAACCAATTAACCGGGCGACATCGCTGTCTTCAGTTGCTAAAAGCGGCGTCATTTAATTGATATTAAAGCGTAGATTTATCTGCAGTTGTTAAATGCACTGTTAAAACTCGGTTGTGCTAAATTTAATAAATAAGCTTTGCTAACAAGAGGAAAAAGTCTTATTGCGAAAAATACTACCTCAGTCAGAATTCGAGTCTGGGATCTCCCTCAATTCGTGACGAGCGTCTTAGCCAACCCGACCACTGAGGCTGTGATAATATTATTCGCAATAAGACTTCTAATTTCAGTACAGGAAGGGGGGTTTGTATTGTATTGAATGTTAATTATAGCATTTTTAAAAATAATTAGAAAAATCGTTCAGCGATTGTATAATTCGTGAATTCGCTGACGATAATGATTCTACCTAACGAAAACCTATGTTATATGTCCGAAAGTAACGGCGCGCGGGACAGGTTGGAAGAATACGGTATATGAATTTTCACTCATTACTCACCTCACATATTAATTTTAAAATTATTGGGCTGCCTCCAGCTTGCCCGGACCTAAGTGGCGATCGCGCCGTATTTGTTTTGCACTTTTATTTATTAAAAGTTTTCTACAGAGCTACATTAAATATAGTTTTAAGGCAACAGTATATACATTACTTATGGCATCGGCGCACGTATGGCAATTGGGTTTTTATTTCGTTCTTACTTAACGTAACGCATCTTTTCAATTATTATCGTTTGCGTCGCACGTGGAACTTCGTCGTGTCGAAAATATATCGTACCACGTATCGAAGTTCGCTGCAATTCTTGATCGCTGTTCCTTCGAAGTTACTTATACGCTGCCCCAATCTTCGTTTTCATTTTTCCGCTATATCAGAATTTAAAAGAGCCTCGCCTGTTGATACGACGGGGTGGTTCTCGCTATTGCTTCGTGTTCGCTGAAAAAAAAACACGTTAAGTTAAATTAAATATATGTCCTTTCGTTTTCAATTAGAACACATCGGGAGAAAGAATTTTAGAGTCTACGTGATCTCTTACGGAAAAAACACTCAAGTTTTGAGCGTTTTTATATAGGGGAAAGTTCCCTATGATAAGATAGGCTTCTAATGTGAGGTAGCAAGTTTTCAACGTCCAAATTCAATCACACATCTTTTTTTCGCGACGGTCACACGATCTAACAATAAATTTTCGGTAATTATGCATAAAAGGGGCCTCCTCTCCGATTTGCTTTATTTTTAAATATGTTGTTGGGGATGTCTTCCCGAGTCATTTCATATATATATATATAAGGGTCGGACTCGAATAGTTTCGGAGATACAGACTGAG